AAAAGAAATATTAGAAAAATCCTACATATGAATTCTAGTAACATATGATATTTTTGTCTTTTTCAATGCTATTATTATCACCATTATTATTATTATTATTATTATTATTAGGTTTTTTGAGACAGGTTTTTCTGTGTAGAAAACCTGACTATCCTGGAACTCGGTTTGTAGACCAGGCTGGCCTGGAACTCCTAGAGATCCACCTGCCTCTGCCTCCTGAGTGCTGGGATTAAAGGCGTGTGCCACCACCGCCTGGCCAGATGGTAACTTTTTTAGGCCTGCTCTTCTGTTCTTAGTGACCTGTGTCTGTGAGTTGGGTCCCCCAAAGGCTCTGCAGCACCTTTCCCCAACAGTTCCGTCAGCTCGGGAACAAGTATTCAAAATGTCAGCATGCGGAGGACATTTCATATTCAAACCATAAAAAACAAATAACTGATTGCTTATACGTTTCCCCACTTTCTCTTGTTTTAAGTGTCATATACTCTCTGTGATATGACCTCTTCATACTTGTGGGGTTCTTGGAGCTGTTTTCCATTAGCAGGAACAGTGTCTGTGGAGTGGATTTCTCAGGTGATGTCAGCCTTTTGATTTTTGGACTAAAGATATTGTTTCCACTTCCGTTTTTCCCTCCCTGTTTCTTTTCTTCCTCCAGTCTTTGGAACCTTTTCTTTCCCCAGTGTTTTTATTTCTTGTTTTTTCAGGATCTTCTTCTGTAGCCCAGGCTGCACTTGAACTTGCAAGGTAGTTCAGGCTAGACCTAAACTCACAGTGATCCTGGCCTACCTCCTCTGTGCTGGGATGCACAGATATTTGCCACCGTGATCAGCTGAACTTTTTTTTTTGTTTGTTGTATATGGGTGTTTTACCTGCTTGTGTGTCTGTGCACCATATATGTGCATGATGCCCATGAAGGCCAGAAGAGGCTCCAGATCATCTGGAACTGAGTTACAGATGGTTGTGACCTGTCCTGTGGGCAGTTCGAACCCCAGGTCCTCTGGAAGAGCAGCCACTGCTCTTAACCACTGAGCCATCTCTCCAGCCCTAAACTAAAGTTTTAAACTTGATTTTTATTTTTATGCTTATTTTTTAATATTCCCCCTGTTGTTAAAAGTAGATTTTTTTCTCATACAATACTCTGCTTCTCCTAGTTCCTCTCTACCTTCCTTCCCATGCAGATCCTCTCCCTTTCTGCCTCTGAGAGGTAACAAGACGTAACAAAATAAAAAGAATAGTAAGATAAAACAAAACATCACATCGTAGTTGGACAAGGCAAATACACAGAGGAAAAAGACTCGAGAGAGCACAGGAGTCAGAGACCCATGTACTCAGACACTCGGGAGTCCCACAGAAATGCGAAATTGACAGCTATGATATTTACTCAGAGACCTGATGCTTGCTGCTTCAGTCTCTGAGAGTTCATCTGAACCTGGATTAGTTGAGTCAGAGGACCTTGTTCTCCTGGTGACCTCTATCCCCTCTGGATCTTACATTTTTTCCACGTCCTCTTGCTTGGGATTCCCTGAGCTCTGATGTGATTGATGTGATGGAGACATCCCATTTAGATGTGTTCTGAGGTTCCTGTCTCTGCAGAATGTCTGACTGTGGGTCTCTGTGTTTGTTCCCAGTCTGCTGCAGACCCCACTTGGCAGGGAAGAGGACTTTTAACAAAAGTAAGGAAACCCAAAATACCAAAAAAGGCCTACGTCAGCCAGCACCGAAAGACAGAAAAGAAGAAAAGGGAAGAGTTACACCTTTCTGAGTCAGGATCCAGAAAAGCAGCCGACCTAACGTAACCCTGTGGCGGCTTGTGGGGACTGCACTAGGAAGTGGGAATTCTGGGAAGGAAAAGTGCATTCTGTCTCACTTGAAGGACTAATTACTCCTCCCATCTCCTATGCATGACTACACAAACCACTTTCCTCTTCCCTGGGATGGTCCCTTAGGCTTTCTCACTCTGTAACAAGGTCCCAGGTGATGAAGTTGAGTGGACGGCAGGTTTTCTTTGGCCCAGTTTCGGAGGTTTCATTTGATTGGTGTGGTGTCTGCAGGGGACTCTGATATCTTCTTCAATATCTTTCTTCAGAGACTTGAAGTTTTTATTATACAAGTCTTCCACTTGCTTGATTAGAGTTACCCCGCGATGTTATTTGAGGCTATTGTGAAAGGTGTTATTTCCTAATTTCTTTCTCAGTCCATTTGTCATGTGTATATCGAGCTACTGATTTTTGTGAGTTAATCTTGTATCCAGCATCTTTGCTGAAAGTGCAGATTAGTGGTGGGAGCGCCCTGGTGGAATTTTTAGGGTCTCTTATCTATCTTATTATATCACCTGCAAAACAGTTACTTTGACTCCTTCTTTCCTGTTTGTTTCACCTTGATCTCCTTCCCTTGTCTTACTGCTCCAAGACTTCAAGTACTGTATCGAGTAGGTGTGGAGCGAGTGGACAACCTTGTCTTGTTCCTGATATAAGTAGAATTGCTTTGAGTTGCTCTTCATTAGTTTGTTGTTGGCCCTGGACTTGTTGTATACTGCCTGTGTTATGTTTAGGTTTGTCACCTTTGTTGTTCACTCTGAGGTCAGTACAACCACTAGGATTCCTAGTTGGCTGTCTGGGAACCCCTTTGCTTTACTGAGGTAGAATTCACAGGTAGGCAACGAAAAGCTTCAGTGCAGGTCTTGGTGTCTTTTGTGTACTTTAGCATTTGATAGCATCAAAATGCGGGAATAAACAGGCAGAAACAGCAGCAGGCAGTGACCTCCAGAGTTAGGGATCTTGTACAAGCATCTGGTAGTGGTGTCCTTAGTTCTATAAGTGTTACAGTTTTGAGAAGGCCAAAGGTGCTAGGACCCTTAATTCTATGAGTATTCCTCATTCCTTGACAGCAGCTGGTTTGCAGAGGTAGGTATTGGACTCCTAAGTACCTGGCACTGTTCAGTGTTACAACTCCCTGGCCTGGTGACCTGAAGCTCTAGGACCTTAAAGCCTTGATGGTTCTCACAAGCAGTAGGGCCTGTAATTTTTTTTAATATTTATTTATTTATTATGTATGTAATATTCTGTCTTTGTGTATGCCTGCAGGCCAGAAGAGGGCACCAGACCCCATTACAGATGGTTGTGAGCCACCATGTGGTTGCTGGGAATTGAACTCAGGACCTTTGGAAGAGCAAGCAATGCTCTTCACCTCTGAGCCATCTCTCCAGCCCGGGCCTGTCTCTGACTCTTCTTAGCCTCTGTCTTGTCTCAATTCCCTACTCTCTCATCTTCTCTCTGCTTTTACTGTTATTCTTTGTCCTGCCATGACTGCTGTCTTGACCTGTTCAGCTGCCTTTCACTGTGCTATGGCCGCTGTAGGAGTTACTGTTCAAAGGCTTCTACTTTTGTTGATTCTGGTTTCTGCAGCTGACAACCACCACTCTTACGGCTCTGCCTCTAGGTGTTCTTAGGGCAAACTTTGGTCATTTGCCACAGAGTGAACAGGAGGACCATTGAGGTCAGGCAAGAATTGGGTCATGTTGTTTGGAAACAGGGAAGGTAAACCCTTGAGCATATCCCGTGAGTGATCCACAGGAGGTGGGGTCTTTACCACTCATGGGATGCTGCAGAGTGTCAGGTGCCCACTTACGCTTGCTTGTTGATGCTCTGTGAGGGCCTGGATCATAGCTAACCAGTGTATGCTGAGAGGGTTTGTTTCCAAGAGAGTGGATGTAGCTCCCACTGGCCCTCTAGATGAGCTACACAGGTACAGTGACAACAGGCGGTTCAGATGGTCGGGGCAGTGGAGGGCGGTGGATGTCATAGCTGGTGGTTCCAGTTCGGACTTTTCTGAACTGTGGACTCATCACCACTGGCTGGTGCTTCATGTCACTCTCCCCAAAGTGGACCTCTTTGTTCCCAGAACTCAGAGCCCCCCCCCCCTTCTCTACAGACAGTCCCACTATGACTAGGAACTACCTTACGATTACCTGCCGGCACCTCCATTACCTACATGAATGTCCTGGGATTGTAGTTAAGACATTCATCAGACTTGCTGCCTGGCATTCCTTTGATCCCTGGTCGCTATACTTAATCTCCTCTTAGCTCCATTTCCCCTGATACAGAACTTTCCCACCTGGGTGGTGTCCTTCCTTGTTCAGCTCTCCTTTGCAAGTACTTGAGGTTTGTCTGTGAGCCTTCATTGGGGAGGTAACACCTTCTGTTCCCCCTCTGCAGTTTGTCTTCTGGTTTCTTTCTCTTCTCTTCTCTTCTCTTCTCTTCTCTTCTCTTCTCTTCTCTTCTCTTCTCTTCTCTTCTCTTCTCTTCTCTTCTCCTTCCTTCCTTCCTTCCTTCCTTCCTTCCTTCCTTCCTTCCTTCCTTCCTTCCTTCCTTTCTTTCTTTCTTTCTTTGTTACACTTCTGGGTTGCTTTCTCTTTTGGCATCAGCCCTAAAAGGGCAGAACCTTGCTTGTTTTTTTCATCATAGGACCTATGTAGAGTCACTGAACAAGAGGTCTGGGCTCACATTGTCAGCTGGATGTTGGGTGGAAGGAAACAGGCCTGTGTAGCATGAAGTGGAAGTTAATGTGACCCATCAAGGTTGTGGTAGAGAGGTCCTTGGGTTGGGGTGGCTGTCGGACGAGGTTTTTGAGGATGTACTTGAGGTTAAGGGATACACTTGGAAGGAGATGGAGCTGAGGAGTAGGAAGATGTTCCCTGCTGCGGTGGGGATAAAAGTGTCTGTTGATTTGTGAAGCTGCTGGAGGAGTTGGAGCCCAGGAGGGAAGACGGGAAGGTGGTGAGGCCTGTGAGTAACTTCATGAGAGATCCTGGTGGGAAATCAGCTGCTGGACCATGATGGTGCAGGGGCTTGGTTCACTACAGAGAGTGCCATGTATGTAGGCAGCTGCCCTGCCTAGGGTACAAGGTGACCGGGAGGAAAAGTGTGTGGTGGTTGCTGGGATATGGTTGAGTTTTCAACGCTGGAGTCTTGTTGAGCTTCTCCTGTGTTTGTGTTCCTCTGCAGGTTTATCGTACGTCCTGATGTCAAGCAGAGAAAGATGGCCAGCTTTCTGGACTGGAGCCTGTGTACCTTGGCCCACTCCTCCTTGCAGACCATCGAGGGTGTCATTGTCATGGATGGGATGCTGCAGGCCCTGGTAAGCACCAGCGACAGCTTGTGGATCTGCGTGACTGTTGGAACCGGCACTGTTTCCAAACTGGTGGTTCATCCCCAAACTGTTGGTTTCCAGCGACAGGAACATGGTGGGATGTGTTTGAGGCTGACCTGAAGTGGTGGCTAACAGGAGAAAGCCGATGAAGTGTGCATCACCACTAGGGGGCAGTGGTGCCTGTAGAACTGCAGCCGTGTCCTTGCGGGTTTTGTTTAGTTTCGTCAACAGTAAAACAATTAGTGATGCCAGCCCTTGTGAAGGAGGCAGAGGGCTTGAAATCTGATCCTGTTTGAATTAGTGGGTTACAAAGTTTCTAGTATCTAAGTTTAAATACAGAGTCTGGGACCTGTCTCAAGGCCCGTTGTGCATGACCTACTATTGCTGGTCTCCTCTGTATGGCTTTTTAGTACTGGCAAGAAGAAAAGCTCTAGTGTGAAATCTTGTGAACAAGGCTAGGAAGCTCCTGCACCAGTGCTCAGGAGGTCACAGATGGACTTTTAAGACTTTGTTTGGTTTTGATGTTCAGTGTTCAGAAGGTCATAGTGCCTCTCTAATGCTGTTACTAGGGTTAGTGTTTACGAGGTCACAGCGGCTTTCTGAGGCCCCGGTATTGAGAGTCAGCATTCAGGAGGAGGGCACGGATTGCCCTCTAAGGCTATGGCCTCTAGGATTTAGCATCTGGAGGGTTGCAGATGATCTTCTGGACTGCAGGCTCGAGGACCAGACATGTCTTCTTGGCTTTCTTTGACTACACTGGGTGAGATTTGAGAGTAGTTCTTGTCCTTGTCTTTGAGGCAGAGGAAACAGGATCCTTTGGAGAAGTTTGAAGGCAACCAGCCATGCTGGCATCTTGGGTTTGGCTGTCTGCACAGCTTTACACAGGTCCTGAGGCAGGGTAGGAGGTGTCAGGGCCAGGAAGGGGACGTGGAACTGGGAATAGGAAGATGAGTAGAGACGCTCAGGACCCGCTGCCGCTGCTGCTGCCTCTGCCTCTGCGGCTGTGTGTGCATCCTGGTGTGGGAGCGAGAAATGCTTGGTTTCTCTTCATTTTCAGTTACATTGCTATTGCCTTCAGAGGCCTGCCATTCAAAACACGTAGGAAGGAAACCTGGGAAAATGAGATGTTTTATGTCCTGTGCTTCTACTCTGCTGGGTTATAACAGTTTAAAATCGAGACGTGGTTTGCTTGCTATGAGACCAGCTCTTTCTTTGTTTTGTTTGCCCACAGAGTTGTGCAGTAACCACTGTCTCCCTTCAGCCTGTCACTCCACACACCACACACCACTCCACAGCACAGTGGTCCCTGACCTGCATCTGTCTGTGGAGGTGGCTTTCATTCTACATGTTTAAACTCATGTTTAGACTCATGATAGGCTTCTTTCACTGAGCACAGTGTCCGTAGGTCTGTCTGTCCTGTGGCATGTGTCAGTCCTTCAGTCCTTCACTCCTTTTTTGTGGTCAGACAATGTTTCATTATGTGGCTGGTTGTGATTAGTGCTACTGGGAACATAAGAGTTTTCTTTTTGTTTGTGTATTGTGCTTCTAAATTTATGTTTACAATTCTCTTGAGAATACAGCAGTAATATTTTCTAATTGTATGATAATAGATATTTAACTCCGCAGATAGTGTTTCAGCTGGTAGTGCTTTTTTTCCTCTCTCTCTTTCTGGTAGTGCCGGGGTGTCAAACTAAGACCCTTAAACATCCTAGGCAAGCACTGAACTGTCTAGCTTTACCCAGCCGCTAATAGTTTTTTTAATCATACTGTCTTTGAAGCCTTTTTTAGAAATTATGGTTGTGGGGCTCAGGGGATGGCTCATTTGCTGCCTTTCCAGCTGGCCCTGGTTCAGTGCGCATGTTGGGAGTACACAACTCCCTGTAACTAGTTCCCGGAGATCTGATACCGTCTTTTGGCTTCTGTGAGCACTTATACACATGTGCACACACACATAGATCACACATATACCCATAAATAGAAGTAAAATAAATCTTGAGAAAAATTATGGTTGCCTTCACATGTCAGTTATAGTGCGTCCTTAGATACACACAATATATATGTACACACACACACACACACACACACACCACATATACTTTTAAATGTAAAAGTTATGGTCGTCTCTTTTGTCATATTGGTGAACTCTGAGGTTCTGCCTATGGCAGATACCTTTGGGATTTGCGAGTACAGATGAATAGCCCATACCTTGGGAGGCTTTGTTTTAGCTGTGTGAAGAGGTGACTAGAGAGAGTTTATTGTGATTTTCATTTTGATTGCAGTAGCGGTTGGTACAAGCAGTGACCTACCCTCAAGGGTACGTGAGGAGGGAGGAGGTCACAATCCTACTCGTAGGTAGTGTGCATTTGTGTCTTAGGTAACTGGTGACAAGGTAGACAGAAATGGTTAATTTGAAAGTTTTGGATGTAAATAGATTCTTGACATTAATGTTTAAAAACATTTTATTTCTACTTTTGTTTGCTGCATGTGTGCATAAGTGTGTGCTCCACAGTGCGTGTGCACAAGTGTATGCACCACAGTGCGTTTGTGATGTTTCAAGTGCTTTTAATTGTTGAGCTGTCTTTCGAGCCCAGCAGCAACAGCAGTAATAATAATGACAGAAGATTCCAGAATAAATGTTCATTGTGTCCACCATGTGCTTCCAGGGTTTGAACTCAGTCTTCAGGTTTGATGACCAACTGAGCCGTCTCTCTGCTTCCCTGCCCTACCTGCTTCTTCCCCCCACCCCCATTTTAACTTCCTTTTGTTTTTGGAAGCAAGGTTTCTCTGTGTAGCCCTGGCTGTCCTAGAACTTCCTCAGTAGACCAGGCTGTCCTCAAACTCAGAGATCCACCTGCCTCTGCTTCCTGAGCCTTGGGATTAAAAGTACGTACCACCATGCCTGACTTCCTATGCTTTTTAAAAATGAGGCATGTTTTACTATGTAGCCCTGGTTTGCCTGGAATTTGTAGACCAGGCTGACTTTGAACTTGTGTGGATACTCCTGCGTCTTCCTCCTGAGTGCTAGGATTCCAGGTGTATGCCAACACCTCTGGCTTGGCATGAGTCTTGTTGAAAATTTTTAGGTCAAGAGAATACAGGAAGGTCTGACAATGTAGCTAGAGTCTGACCTGTCTAGCATGTGTATGTGGCACACAGGAGGGCAGACACGATTAATCTCAGGGGATTGATTTTGGACTGGTTTTGTTCAGCTGTCTGCATTCTTTCTGGGTTTAGGTGAGAAAGATCTTGCTTTACAGCTCAGGTTAGCTTCAGTCTTGTAAATACAAGGGCTATGTGTGTGTGTCACTGTACCTAACCAGCACTCTGCATTTTTGAGGGGCTTTGGGATCTATCGCTAACTACTTGACAGCCTGGCTCAGGAGTTTCTCTGATCTGCCCATGACGATAGAGATGTGGCTGGCAGGGTAAGCAGGGCTCCCTGCTTGGGGGCTGTAGACTCCTGTGGGAGGTGGGGTAACCTGCTGGGCTCTCTCTGAAGGTTCACTGGAGGTCCTGGGCAGAGTGATCACCTGTTTCTCGTCTCTGTGTGGCTCCCAAGTTTTCTATTTTTCCTTTCTTATTTGGGAGGTGCATCGAGTATAGATTGCGCTCAGATACTGGAGGCCGGTTGCTGTTCCATTCCTTGCCAGTTATGCCAGTGGGTTGAGATTCCTTTTAGTGACTTAAGCCAGTTAGACATGTGTGCCTTTTATTCGAACATCTTCAAATTCCAGTGTTGAGGGAGAGAAATTCTCCCTTTTTCCTTCCTCCCGAGGTGTAAAAAGGGTTCCCAGAGGCTTAGAAAAGTTGTCTCCTACCCCACACCCCCAGCTGGGTGTGTTGGCAGGGAGGGGAGGATGAGACCCAAATCTCTGCTGTGGGGCAGAGTGCTTTGGTGGCTTGGCATCAGCACTCTGCTCTATCTCGAGAGATTTGCCCCGAGGATGGTGAGCAATTGTCTGACGCAGACACCTGAAATCCTGGGAAGTGGACGAATGAAACCGGATCAGCAGCTGTGGTGGGCTCTCGCCTTGGGCTCGCAGTGCCTGACTCGGCCTCCCAGAAGCCCGAAGTCCTGCTGCTTGGGGCAGCAGCGTCTCCACGGTCTCCCATTCGGCTTTCTTCTCTCATTTGGAGGGTCACTTGGGTCTGATCTGGCTCCAGGGCAGGAGGAAGTTACACTTAGTGGGTGGAGCAGTTTCACCATGGGCTTGTCAGACCTGAAGGCAGAGGGCTGGGTGTCCTGTGCATGATGAAACTTGCAGGTGTATTGTGCTTCAGGATTGCATGTTTCCTTTGATGCACTTGGCTTCATTTTTATCCACCTGTTCATTAGTGTGGGTTAGGCGAAACAGGTGAACCCTGAACAAGTCACATCGAAACTAGGATTGATTTTATTTCCCTCGAAGCATAGCCCTCTTGCCGCGTCGATTCTTAACTCCTGTAGGACGGAAACAAGCGCTGGGAGACTTCACTTCTCTGGAAGGCCCTTTACTCTGGAGTATTAATACTAATATAAGAACCTTTGAGAGTGGAAAACATAATTTAAATAAAATTAAAGTATTAAATAAAATTAAAAGTAAAGTGCTGCCACATAAATGTATTTGTGGGTTTCCCTCAGATTCAGAGTTTTTCACTACTGTGGCTTCTCTGCTTTTTCTGCGGTGGCCATGATGGTGGAAGAACTTCTGCTCCCAAAGACAGGCTGCTGGCAGGGGCATTGCCTGTGTTTATTGGTGGCAGGAGATGCCCTTTTGTTTACCATCTGTTAGCACTGTATCTCTCCTTCACAGTGAGTTTTCTTATTTTTCCCATTTTTAAATTTTTTTAAATCTTCCAGGCACGGTGGCACACACCACCACTCAGCTCTGCACAGAGACAGGTGGATCTCTTGAGTTTGAGACCAGCCTGGTCTACAGAGAAAGTTCAAGGATGGGCCAGGGCTATACCGAGAAACTGCCTCGAAAAACAAAAAACAAAACAAAAAC